GATCGTTGTCAACTGCGACTTTCTGAGTGCGGCGACTGGATTCAGTCCGCTGATTAGACTCAGGTGGTGGTTGAAGTTGTTGAGCATGTAACTCTCTTATTTGATGCATGGTTAACTCCATCTCCATTTTTATTTCAGCTCTGAGTTCCTCTCGCTGTCGAGCTAAAGCTTCTTGAAGCATTTGAATCACTAGATCGGGAGTAATTGTGAACGATTCCCTTGCTTCCCCATGCTGGATATTGTATCTTTGGAGGCAATTGCGGAGCAAGTATCCAACAGTTCGTCTTCCGAAAATAGTCCTTCGTGCATCCTCGGGTAATCCCTATGTCCGATGGCTTCTAGCTGGAGCCGAGACATTCGTTGGGCTATTCCTGAATTGATTTTTTTTCCGGGAGAAAAGTCAGGATTAGAACCGTTTGAAGCAATCTTCAGGGAATTCATTATCCTGGACGGTGGATTTTCTCTTATGAAAACGTCTTGGCTTGGGCTTCAACACTTCGGTGGCAAGTTTTCCAAATACCAAGACCCTTTGTGAAATAGTTCTGGGACAGTTATATTTTGATAATACTACCCTGATAGATCTCCCACATGGATAGTGAGAGCTGATTTTTTGGACACCCTCCTTTTGGGATTTGTTCACACCCCCAGCCTGATGGTGCAGCTCATTGGAGTAATTCATCGCTTGTTGGTGTGATGTCCTAAGTATAACGTTGTCTTTTGACGGACACATCTTCTTTTGAGGATAAAAAACCTTGTTGATATTCTCGGGACGATTTGTTGTCGCTTTTGAACGATCTAAGGTCGCATCAGGAGTCGCACGTTTAGAATCACCCCCTTGCAAGCGTGGAACTTTAACAGGCTCCTGGGTTTCAATACGAACTCTTAGGCGATCGATGCCAGGAGTCCTCTTGTGCACAGCACACGAACATGTGCATTGAGGTGTCCCAGTTTGTTTGGAGACGACGGGACACTTTTGAGCAACAGAGGACTTGACGGGAGGACGTGTACGACCCTCAAACTGTGGAATTACTCGAATTTTGTTCACCAAAACTTTGTCTCGATCTTCGTGTGAAGGGCCAAGGCGATCCGTTATTTTCATCTAGGATTTTGATGGATCCATACTGCCGTGAAGCTTCACCGGAGGTATGAGAGAAGACGGAGCGGGAACACAGGCTGACGGAGGCGAGAAAACAATCGCAGGAGGCGGACTGCGTGAGCCACTTTGAGGTGGCTCGACTGCCAGGGCCTTCTCCCGCCGCCTTCGCACTTGATTTTCGTGTCGTTTTGGTCTTTAGCACCTAGATTTGGCGGGACTTTGACGGTTCTTTGGCCACCTTCTCCTTCTTCATGTCTTGCGCCTTTCGTACTAAGGCACGTCAACTCGGAGGGAACGCATCCAAAAGCGCTGTGCACGTACCACATATGCGCGTGCCTTAGTACGAAAGGACACACCCTTCCGTCGATGGTTTGGAGGAAATGACAGCAAATTGTCATTGAGACGGCTGGATTACTTGACGTTTTCTAGACTCCAAGTTCGTATAGTAACGAATCGCATTGACTTGTTCCAATGCCTGCTGATTTGACGAGCTTGACGTTGGCGTCGCCTCTGACGAGCCCTCTTCGTCAGAGTTAGCATACTTTGATTGAACAACTTCTTGATTGGAGAGGAGTTATGGCAAGCGGAGTCACTTGTAGCCTTCTTCGGTGAATACGCCTCCTTCAAAGACGAGATCTTTCCACACTTGTAGGAAGAGGAGAATTTTAATGAAGACAATGAGAAATATTCCTCGAACTTGGCTTCGTCGAACTCGTACTCGACCGCTGAATCAACCGGGATCATGATCTTCGATTGCGACACGACAGCCTCGGTGACGAGACTATTGGCTCCCACTGTAGTTGCCAGCGTGTTTGCGTCAAAAGTTAGTTTATTCATGGAACTCATTACAACTTTAATCGTTTACAATAAATTCAAAAGAGTTAGTCTTTTTATAAGATTTTTCTTACATGAATAAAAAAAATAAAAATACAACTCTAAAAACACACGCAGAGGACGTTTATCACCTGCTGTTTGCGTGGGATCTTTGCCTATGTCAGGGTTTATCCGTGGATTACCGCGGATCAAATCCGGTTGATCGGAATAAAAAATCAATGCTCTTGCTTCATAAAGGAAACAATTGCAGAAGTAAATAATCTCAACAAAGTGTGATTGCTACTCTTCAAATAATCTCAACAAAGTGAGATTGCTACTCTTCTCGAGATCAAAACAAAGTCTGATCTCAAGGAATGATGAAACGGGCTTCAGATCTCTCTAAATCCACTCTTAATGCACAGAAATTCACTAAGATCTCGCTAGCCTCTCTCAAATTCGTCAGAACCTAGCTCTAGCTCCTTTGAAATTCGTGGCTCCCTTCAGATCTGCCTTTATGAGGGTGCTAGGGATGTATTTATAGATTTTAAGTACCGTATTTGTAGATATGATTGAAGAACAACTGTTATTATCTGTTTAGGTGGGTTTTTGATTGTGTAACAGCTTCCGCACGTTTAAGGATAACCTCACATGTTTATAGATGACCACCAGGAGTTTTAGAAGCCAATCTTATCAGAAAACACGTCGAGAATTGACCTGGGCGCAAGTCACTTCGAAGTAACTCAGATTCTCCAAGACAGTTTGTATTGTCCTTGGTATTTTGGCTTTAATTCTCTCGTCCGACCTCGGAATGAAGTGATTCAAGATGCGTTGGAAAGCTGACGAAAAGACCTACAACTTTTATCTTTTGAGTTTTTTCGAATTTGAAGCGAATCATGGTCGAAATTTTAATTCTTCTCGAATCATGCATCCTAAATCTCGTTGTTGCTTCCTCGCTTCGTATTTTCACGAGTTTCTTCCACTTTGTGCACTTCTTCGCCTCGCGCGTTCCTTTGCTTCCTTTTGGCATCGAATGATCATCTTTGACTTAGATAATCCTCTCTGACTTGGATAATAATGTTCATCATCTTCTCTTCGTCTCAAGCTGCGTGCGGGAACCCATAGGTAATTTTTGATGCCTACAATACTCTCATTCGGCCAGGTGTGAAGCCCCTTTCTAGAAAGTTCTACCGTGCATGATGTACACACTTCAAAATGTGTATGGCCTATATATTTGTGGAGTTTACTTTCTGTGGAGTTTACAGGCACAATTTTTCTCGAAAAGACGACCTACAACTTTTATCTTTTGAGCTTTTTCGAATTTGAAGCGAATCATTGTCGAAATTTTAATTCTTCTCGAACCATGCATTCTAAATCTCGTTGTTACTTCCTCGCTTCGTATTTTCACGCGTTTCTTCCGCTTTGTGCGCTTCTTCGCCTCGCGCGTTCCTTTGCTTCCTTTTGGCATCGAATGATCATCTTTGACTTAGATAATCCTCTCTGACTTGGATAATAACGTTCATCATCTTCTCTTCGTCTCAAGCTGCGTGCGGGAACCCATAGGTAATTTTTGACGCCTACAATACTCTCATTCGGCCAGGTGTGAAGCCCCTTTCTGGACGGTTCCACCGTGCATGATGTACACACTTCAAAATGTGTATGGCCTATATATTTGTGGAGTTTACTTTCTGTGGAGTTTACAGGCACAATTTACAAGGGCCTGACAGCTTAAATTTTGGGTTATATTCAAAGTAATGTAAAAGCATCTCATGAAAAGGTTTAAGCATTCGGGCCCCAAAGTTGTTTTAGTTAAGCGGCCTCTTAGGTGGTCTAGTCAGCAACCTAGGTGGTTCTAAAGAGTTTACAATTTACAAAAGGGCTTAAAGCTTAAATTTTGGTTTATATTCAAAGTGGTGTAAAAGCATCTCATAAAAAGGTTTAAGCATTCGGGCCCTAAAGTTGCTTTAGTTAAGCGGCCTCTTAGATGGTCTAGTCAGCAACCTAGGTGGTTCTAAGGATTAAGGACTAGCACTATCTTAGGCGACATTACCCACTTAACACTAATAAAACAGATTTTAAGACAAATATATCATGCACACGAGCACTGAAAAAAAGTCGGGCGCCAACTAGTTGAGGTGGTCATATTGCCCCTTGCCAAAGGCCTCAAGCCTAATAAGGTGGTCCCTCCCGAGTAAGGAATATTAGTGGATTGTGTTTGGCAAGTGGGTCAGGCTACAACAGATGTTCAAATCCAGCCAATTCGAACCAAAATCCAAAAATAGATTAGAGGTACGGTGTAGAGTTTCTATGGTATACCTTGTCACCACACATAAACCACCATTTGTGTGGACAATAAACACCATCTCCAACCTGGAGTCATTTGATTACAAGTTTACAACAATCACAGACAACTATGTGAACTCCTACACCTTAACCCCGTTATTCAAACAACCAAAAAAAAGACAATATGGAAAAATTGACAGAATCTTGCTGAACATTTCAGAGTTAAATATTGGTGCCCGTCATATACGAGAACTATTAATTTATCTTTTATTTAGATAGGAATCATATGTTGGTTTAAGTGTTGTTCTAGGAGTTCTAATTGATATGGACTTTATCTTCAGAATCATTTTAATTGGAAGTTGGAACACTATCAATATTAGACTAGTAATTGAGTAGGAAGTTTTAATCCTTTTGCTAGCTTTTCATATACATACAGTGCATTGTGAATAGAACAAAAGATATACTAGAACTCTTCATGATTTATCTTTTATTAAGATAGGGATCTTATGTTGGTTTAAGTGCTGTTCTCAGAGTTTAATTGATGTGAACTTTATCACGGTGGATTTGTTTTTTCTCCTTCAACCCTCTCTTTTTTACTCATATTCTTCCTCCTGCATCAACCTTCTATCTGCTACTCTGAAACACATAGAGCCTGCACCTTAAACTCATTTACCAGATGAGGAAATGTGGTTGACAAGTGATTAGGCTGGAGTTAGCATCCAACTCCAGTTAACACCATCCAAACAACTGAAAATAGTCTAGATCTAGCTGTTCAAATGCATGGGAGATTAGCGCAGACTACAAAACATACCAGGTTGCTTCAGCATATGAGAGACCTTGCCACTTAACTAAATACTCTGGTATTACATCATCGCCGCTAGTTTTGCTGATCCTGTCCGCAAATATTCTTTCAACCTGATTATTTACACAATTACACCATGATTTCAGTAGAGAAAACCATCAAAGAAGAAAAAAACCTAAAACCATAAATACATTAAAAAATTCATGGTAACAATATAAGAAAGGGAAACCTGACTGTATTGCTTGAGGAGATCTAACTCCATTTCTTTGCTGACATCATGAACCTCAACCTGTATAAAATTTGTAACTTAAAGTTAAACTGTACATCTATACAAATTAAAAACTGGGTCAAATAATAAGGAATTCCTCTGGATCAACTGTAATTGGCAAACAATAAAAACACGCCTGAAGGCATAAACACATGCAGCGTAGTATAAACGTAAAAGTCAATGCACCATATGTACATCTATGTGCCCTTATAAACACTTTACTATTCAAGCAAGGACTGCTGTATCAGTTGATACTTGATACAATAGACATTTATCATATCGTTGGATTATAATTATGCTGATTTGATCCAACCAAAACTCTGTCAACACTAAAGCTATTGGCTAATCACAACTAATACAGGCCGAGTTGCATAATACAACAAGAAATTCGAGTTTGAAGTATTGAACTTGAATTATTATATGCAGGGAATGAAAAAAACGATTACAAGAAAACTTGTGATTAGACTGACTTGCTCCATTTACCAACAACTTTTAAAATCTAAAACCAGTGAAACTCTCAATTCTGATACGAAAGAAGGTGAATGGTCAATCGAAAATCTCAAACCTTCATAAAAATTTAAAATAAATTGCTAAAAGTTCAAGCTCCTCAGTGGGCAAAGAGCAGGTTATTGACCTTATAATCTTAAGAAGGTGAAACTCCTTATAAAGGTGAGTTCCTATTATAGAAACTATAATTTTTCACAAATTGCAGCTCATTGTGTCGTATATTTTAATGAACTGAATACTTGTAGTATTATGTCAAGATAGTCATGTTAGATGTGTCTTCAAGGTTCTCGTTTAGTCAACAAAAGGGAAGTTATTAACTGACAAGGTTTAACTAATGTTAAATGAGGCTGTCAGCCTGTCAGATTGAACTCTGCTTTTTCATCCAATTAGAAATGCATTAGCAATAACATAATTATCTTATAAAATACCATCATATGGACAAGACTCAAGAACTACACTTGATCCACAAAAGTGCGAAAGGAAACTTCCTAAGCTTCTAACCTATGAGCTGCAACACAGCAGGCCGTTCAGCTAAGACTAAGCACCAAACTGTCAGTGTCAGCCATTAGACAAGATTAGTTTTACTCTTGAATGCAAAATTGAAGCACAAATAATAATAATAGCCACGGGCGTATTAAACTTATCTCTTTTGCGCCATTATAACTTGTAGAGTAACCACCTATGTAATTACCTCCTCGCGTGACAAGGCAACCTTGTATTTCCTCTCTTCGCTTGCTCTTTTTATGTAGTTCAGAACCTTCTTGAAGCCAGTAACCTATGAAATTTCATCATTGAGCAAATATGTATTAACATTCAGAAAATCAGGCACATGAAAATAAAATAACTATAAGTTGGCAGTTGAAAAATGCTTTCCGCTTACATTTTGGAGATCAGAGAATGGTTTCCATTGACAATGTAAATATGACTGGCCTTTCCATTTTATATAGAATTCAACTTTATCCCATTCAGGTTCAGAGTCTGACATGGTGCTTAAGACACTGGGTTGCGCTGATCTGTTGTTTCTTATAGCATCTTCAGCCATGCCCTTTGGCTGGTGCCAGAGTACCCTCTCGATTGAATCAGCGTCCTCTTCATCAGCATCATCTTGAAGAAGCTGTTTAGAGAAATGTTGTTTAAGAGGTCCAGTCATTATTAGACATTATGGCTTGGTTTGGTAGGGGGTTTGAGGAGGGAAGGTGAAGTGAGGGGAGGTGCAATGAGGTGGAGGGATGGACATCCCTTTAAGCCCTTTAATGTTTTTTTTTGGGGCGGTTGCGGCTGTGCAGTTGTGGGAGGGCGCGGGTGGAGAGGGGGGACCGGATGAGACAGCATGTTTTTATCAGTTCAGTTGTTCTCTCTCTCCTCTTGTGTCCTCCCAATTGGATTTTTCTCTCTCTAACTTTTTAGTTTATTTTGTGGTGCCTCCTCTCTCCCCTCACTCTACCTCCCCTTTTAAGAAAACCCCCTACCAAAGGCAAATCTAATTTTTTCCCTCCCCTCCCCTCCCCTCCTACCAAACCATTATTAACAGAAACAGGGAATGAGAAAATAGAGTAAATAAAAGTTTAAAAGTTCTAATGACATACATAAGTGTACAAAAATGTCAGCTAAAAGTAAATACAGCTATGGCGCATATGATAGCTTGTAAATAGGAAATACATCTAAAATTGCATCTCCAATTTTCTGAATGAACAGGCAAATCATGCATTTTTGCTAGACGCCGCAAGTTGTGGTTTGCCAAGATGCATTCTCTAAAAAAATCCAAAACTACAATTCACGAGGTTAATTATTTATTGTTAAAGGTATGATAACTTTCCGAGACACATAGCAAAATTTGCCTTCCTATTTACTAATATCTGAATTTACGCATTTTACGCGGGAAATCCACATGAATAGCTTTCATAACTAAATCCTGGACTGAGTAAAAGGTTCAGACCGGAATCCAGGCAACTGCAAGAAAAGATACTATTTGTATCTTTGCAATACTCCGACTTGATAATTCTTCTTCTTTTTAACTCAGGAGTAACCCACACGACCCCAAAAACGATACCTTCTCTGCAAGAACAGGATCGTTAAGCTTGACTTCTACCACAATACCCTAGGTCAACTTAGGTCGTAAGTTGCTATGGGAACTTCCAATGGTAACATACAAAGAACTAGTAAGCTGTTTGTTTAGTTATTTATATACAGGAGTTCCACATAAGATCCTGAGAGGGAAACAACCAAACTCTACTAAGAATTCAAATCAATTTAAAAATGCATATCATCCACTACAGGTGGAACTCGAAGTAAAAGACAATATATCATAAAAGGCATCATTTTTCTCAACTTATGTTGGAAATAGCTAAAGGAAAGTTTCTGAGTTACTAAGAATTAGTTAGATGTACATAAATGCTAGTCTACTCTAGACTTTCTCCATAGGAGGGAGGAAATCTTGCCAAAATATATAAATAGACTCTGAAAGCAGCCGAGTGGTTTAATCTCTTATATGCAGAAGTTTTACATAATTCCTGAGGAAGGGAACTAAACTTTAGAAATACTTCAAATCAATATAAAAATGAATTACTACCATCAACGAGAAATGGATTTGAAACAGATATCTAGGTCCTAAAAGGGCCATTATTTTATCAGTAAACACATTGGGAAGTATGCAGCTAGGGATTGAAACCCCACCTTCTGGGACTTGGTTGTTCTCTCTTCATCTTCTTTTTCACTTTCTTCGCTTTCAACATAAGATACCTTCCTCACGGCCCTACCGGATGTACGGAGCTCACTACTCTGTGAATTGATATTCACAGAACCTGCTGATTGGCCGCCACTCTTCTTACGTAACTGCCATGCTTTTCTGGATTTCTGGCTGAAGTCTTCATCGCTGTCCTGTTCAGAGTCCTTTTCAGATGATTCCTCCTCGTCTGAAAATGCTCTCCCTCTTTTTCGTTGACTACGAACAGAAGACTTGCTATCTTTTGTTGACTTTGGTCTACGTCCAGCTTTTTGCGACTTTCTTTGTCGTGGATTACCACCATACTCAATACCTTCTTCATCTGAGAGATCAAGGTCATCATCTTCTTCTTCATCATTTTCATCATCAAAATCATCACTCTCTGACATTTTAGCCTGACATAGATATAAGAAACATTTTATACAGTTCATTGAAGCTTTGAGTGTTTCATGCAACCAAAAAAGTTATACTTTATATCTAGAGATGCAAAAATGTGATGAAAGAAAATAAATACTACTCTAGATACAGTGGACAAGGAAATAAAGCCTTTAAAAATAAGAAAAGATAGCAGGACAGTTTATAACAGGTGTCAAAGGAAAAAAATTAAAACAGCAGAAATTTGTTCTAGTAGCAAAGGCTAGAAGTCAAGTTATCAGTGGTGATGACTTCCTGAAGAAATGAAAAGGCACTAAGTCAATATGGGAGGAAGCAAGAATCCCACGCCACCCGCCAAGTGCTCACATGTATTACTAGATCAGTTGCATATGTGGGACTCTTTTAGTTGAATTAGACACTCAAAGTAAAATTTGGAAAACTCAATGGTTGACCATCCTTTGGACAATTTGCAAAGTTCATATTGATCTACAGATCTAATATTGCATAAAAATGAGAACACAGAAGATTTCAAAACGTTTAAGCCATTCAAATGGTAACTATTTTGTACAGTTATTTTGGATGTGTGCATCACATTGAACAATATGGATCATCCAGCGAGTGACCCATCATTGATTACAAAATTTAAGAACCCTTCTCACAGGCGCATTTCCAAATAAAAAGGAACAGCTCAGTATGATGTCTTCACAAAGCATATATTTAAAAACCAATCTCATAAACTACATACGTATGCACCCACATGCATACATCCATATATGCAACTAAGAAATAACATGTGAGTTACATCTTAAAAAAGGGAGGAATACATGATATTTAAATCTTGAGGATAGGAAGGACAAGAGTACTCACTAAACAAAAAGGATGAAAGGAAAATGATAATCCCAGATCAACCAAGCTCTTTGCTTAGAACTACATAATAACAAAAAAGATTTAACTTTACATTATGCATCAGACTTATTATAGTGTGTTTGTAAAGCATGGCAGAGAAAATGTTCACACGCTGTGAACTGTTTCTTCTTCTTTTCCTTTTCTCTTTTTCTTCTTCTCTATATTTTCCTTCTTTTTCTTTGGGTGGGAGTTTGGGGGTTTGGATTTTTTTCCGGGGTTGGGGGTTGGGGGGTTGGCAAGTGGCAACACATAAGAAACACCAGGCTATCATTAATAATCATGGGATATTGAAGTATTCTGGGTTGCTGGGTTGGCAACACGTAAGAAGCACCAGGCTATCGTTAATAATCATGGGATATTGAAGTATTCTGGGTTGCTGGGAACCCATGCTAGTCAACACACAGTGAAAAACTGACATGTGGAACATATATCCGTTCTTTGGAGAGTCATTTTTATATGAAAAATAAACACAGTATTATAAATAGAGACTATAATACATGGTGATCTTATAGCCATATCATAAAAAATTTCCTTTGACTTAAGGTATTCTACAGAAGCATACTACATTACTGCTCTAGAAGTTTTCAGTTATACGGAACATCTTGCCCATATTCCAATCATGATGTACAAAAATGATCATTTTAGGTACTCCAGATTATTAATTCAATTTTTTTCATAGCTTCGTTAATATAGTTCATGTATTTTGTTCACATCCTGCTAATTCTACATCCTCCAATTCTAAAACTTATCTGCATTTCAACGGTGAAAGTTGTATTTTCTACTCTCATCGACTCATTAAATACAAAGGATGAAACTTATCCTGAACATGATAATTGACAAGTTTATCCCTATTTAACACAAATGGTAAAAGGTCTATGGCCAGTCTTGCATTCTATAGAAGGTGAAGGATTTATCTCCTCTTCAATCAGTCTCATGTCATGTGTTATTCCATCATAAATGTTCATGACCTACACTTGTCGGAAAAAAACGGTAAAAACCTACCAAAATTTTCCAAAAAGAGCAATACAAGATATTCTTCTCCCAAAACATGTAACTAAACATTACCAGTAGCTTCAATGGCATATGTTCCTAGCACAACAAAGTTGAAGTGTTCTCTTCTTTTCTAGTATTTCTTGCTTTCTATATATGGAAATGTAAATTTCATTAGTATCCCATACTTGGGACTCCATGGTGTTTTATGCACTTTGTCATTCTCTTTTATTTTTATATGCATGTAGCTAAGTGCTTCTTCTTGGCACTTCGTCTTTTAAAAGTACTGTTAAATAACTCAGAAATACTAACACCCACCATCCAAGTGCTTACAAGCCTTAGTACAAAAGATCATGTCTTATGGCTTAAAAGCTTATCGTGAACATCTATGTAGCACGGACACGGATCCGACACGGCCATCCGACACGCCGACACGAGGCAAATCCTAAAAAATACATAGGATAAGTGTGTTCGACACGTGTGTCCGACACGGACACGACACGACACGGCTTCATGTTATGCGTGTCCGTGCTTCATAGGTGAACATTAAAACTTTGTGAGAGAAAACTCTTTCAGTAACACCTGAATTACCTAACATAAAATAAGTACTTCTGCCTTAAGTTCTATGTAATTCATGACTTCAATGCAGCCTTGTGTACCGCCTACTCTTCCCAATTGAGATAGATTTCCTACAAATAACATATCTTCTGCAGGTATTTTATGAACAAATTGTCAGAATATATTACAGTGACATTAATCTTTCTCTGGTTATTCAAAATTAATAACTTAACATAGATTGAAATTTATTCAGAATTATATACAAGTAACTAGCCACCCTGTACATCTTTTTTCCACCAATCACACATAGGGCTCTTTATTTGTTGCATTCTCTCATGCACAAGAAGCACTAAGATTACATAATTTATTAACTAACCAATCATATGGTCGGTTGCCCCACGATAACTATGAGAGCATCCATGTTAGTGCTTTTTTGAGAAGTAAACAACAACTCTAGAGAGGACATACTACAGATGGGTTGAAATCTCTGTTTTAGTCTCCAGCTGAAAGTTTTTCAAGATTTTTAGTTTTGGGTATGATTATTTTTGTGATTGAATATATAATTACTTGTAAAATAAAGATTCAAATAAATAAAACAAACTTAGCACCTTCTCTCACAGAGCATTCCTAGATTGTATACGAGAGTTGCATGGAATTCCAGGGGCAATGTTACATGAGACATTTAGTTTCACATGTAAAAGCTTTTAATATGAGGTTTACAATTGAAGAGACAAAGGCGTCTTCTATCACCACAAGCTTATCCGGTTTGGATTTTGAGTTTTACCTTCTGCAGTAGTTAAAGACAAACATATTAATGTGATAGGCATATTTGGGATAAACTTGCATCATTTGTTGAGGATGCTGTACTAAATGATTGCGCTAAATGAATAATTTTCGAGAAATCCTTAAAATGACCAATTGGCTCCTTAGAACCCATTGATAGTGAGATCGAGAAGAACATGGTTCACCGAATCCAAGTAGCATACTTAGAATATGCAAGTGTTCTCAAGAATTATGAGTCATAAAATTCCAATGAAATTGAAGGGAAATCCTATAAAATGAATAGGAATTAAATTCCCAAGCATTAAACTTCCAAAAATGTTGCATATATCATATTTGCTATGATTTGACCACTTCCAATAATATGACATTCCCATGTTTAATATGTTAAAAAACCTCAAGGAAAACTATGCAGTGGTGCAAGGACAGCAGTGTTAATGATTGTAATATTGATGGCAAAAGCAATGACAATGAAGATGAACTGAGTTTGGTGGCTACAAGGAAAGTAGCAATGAGTGTAACAACATTTAGAATCAATCAAAATAGTATACAAGTGAGTAGGAAGGGAGTTCCAGAAGCAGCAAAGAAAACAACATTGGAAGGGACAATATCAATGGTAACGGAAGCAATGATCATAGTGAAAATACAAATTAGAGACTGGAAAAATATAAGTTTGTAGAAACTGAGTTGTTTTCGTATAAGATCCGATCTATGTAGGACGTATCAACTCACATATCACGCAAGAAAGACCTTTCAGGAATGAGACAATATGATCCTAGAATTTTTTAAGTTGCACTCATGCTGAATACAAGAATCAGAAAGGCAAAACCAGACTCCCAAAGAAATTCAAAATATAAAACAAGACCAAATGTTTTCTACTCATTATTGAAATAAAAAGGTCTGTAAAAAATAATTTCCTACTTATATTTTTATCTAAATTTAGTCTACACTTTGAAAAGTTCATCCGTGCACCTTCAAAAGGACAGAGAATACCCCTAATTACAGTTTTAATGACTAAGACTTTAAAAATAATGAGTAAAGACAAAATCAACAGGAGATATGACCAACATAATCCAAACGGGAGGAAGTGGTCGTAAAGACGGCAACTAAGGAGGTGTCAGGGCTTGAGTGCATTATAGTATTTGATAGTCATTGATAATTGTGTTCTTAAACTAATTGCATAGGTAAAGTTAGAAAGATGCTGGCCGGATAAGAAGATCGATGTCTGTCATAAGTTTGGGGTGCGCCCATCCCTATCAATCATCTAGCTTTTTCTTGTTCACAGCGCGGAAAGAGCGAGGTAGTTTTCCAGGTAAGGGCAGGCCTAATGAAAAAGTCCAATTCCATATATTTCTTCAGGTGAAGCCCAAGTCAAACCAAGCAGTGTTTTAAATGTCGGTCGACATGTCGGATTTAGGGGTCAACCGACACGATATGGAGTTTTTCATTACGTATTGTATTTTCAGGGTTCATGTCGGATATATCGACGGCTATGTCGGATATGTCGAGTGATATGTCGGTTATGTCGGGTGATTTTTTAGTCTAAAAAATTAGCTGGTTTTTTTATTTTTTATTTTGTTGTTACGTTTGTCTAATCAGATTTGAGTTTAAATTCTTGATTGTCTTAATATTACTTCCAAAGAAAAAAACCGATAAGTTAAGGGAAATAAAAAAAGACCGAAGTAATATATGTCGCTCATCTTCTCTCTCATTCGACATCTCATCGGTCTCTTCTCCGAGTTATTCCTTCGACATCAATATTGGATGATCTTCTCTCTTCTTAACCGCTAATATCGAATTTATCACCTCTTTCCTTCAACATCAATCCTAAGCATCATAAGTTATTTACTCTTTTATATGTTTAGACAATAGAATTTTTTAAGTCTATTTAGATTTTATTTATGATATTTATATTACACATATGCACACCATCCGATATGGCAATCCGATATTTTTTATGTCCCCCGACAAATCCCTGATTTCCGCTATCCGACACGAATTTTAGCTGTCCGACATGAACCCGACATCCGACATTTAAAGCCTTGAAACCAAGTCTTCTTGGTGAGAAAATATCTTTTTCCACCTAAAACAAACAACAACGGTCGCATGCTAAGCATCATTGTTAATATATTAAAGTCAAAATCAAAGATCCTATCATGACAAATCTGGTTCGATGGCTGCTCTCTACTAACCGCAAGGATATCGGTACTCTATATTTCATGTTCGATGCCATTGCTGAAGTGATGGGCACATGCTTCTCCGTACTTATTAATGGATGGTCAAGAGTAGATGGATCATGTTGCTAGAAAAATGAAAAAGAAGACAAATAATTACTTCTGATTCGATTCCATCTCTCTCTCTCTGGGTGGGTAGTGGGGGATGGAATTATAAATGAAAATCAAATCAGAGCTTGTGTAATCTATTAGGTGCATTACAGCTTCAAGGATTGACGCTACACAGAGTAGCATGCACTAAAGCTGTTGTTAATAAACTGTGTGACGCAATGGATTTTAAAATCAAGAAAGTATGTCCATAGAAACTGTGAGGAGAGGTGGAAACATACGCATAAGGTCAAAGTTTGATTTTTCATTCATCGCTGACGCGTTGGGATTAGTTTAATGTCAGACGAACATAGAGCTCTTGAAAGCATTCTTATAGATTGAAA